ATCCGGGTGGGGTATGGGTTGCCTCTCAAATGTGACTGTCCAATTTTCAAATGACAAAAAGATACAAAACCAGTATTCCCCCCCTCCCCAACTCCCACCTGGAGTTAAACAAACCAGAATCAACAAGAGCACTATCTAGTCCTTTCTTGACCAATTTTCTTTCCAGTTACATTGTAGAAGGTATGATATACACAGTCCTGAACATCTTGGCTTTCCCATTAGTTTTGACTCGTCACAAATTCAGGCCATATTTGTGCCTAAAAACACAACTGTCAGACGACTCCCTGTGGGGTCTGCAGCACCATGAATTAATCTAGTATGATCTATTTTCTTCAGCAGCTGTGTAGGACATTCTCATTCACTGTCGATAAAGTCACTGCAAGTTGTATCCTTTGAAATCTCACTTGTATTCAGAGCTCTCTTTAGCTGACATTATCTCACATTTGTTATCAAATTTTCATCACTACCCTTTGTCTCATTTTCTGCTGTTGCTCTACTCCTATTAAAATAATTGGTACCACACCACATTTTTCTATTTTTATATTCATACCTGCATCTGAAAAAGTAATTTTATGTTGGCAAAGGCCTAAGCCCAATTCATTTGCTGGTTATTACACAATGTGACACGGCCATATGTGACATCTACTGAGAAATAAAAATGCCAGCAGCAGAGTCAGAAAGTGAAGACTGGGCACAGAGCCATGAAGCAAAAGACAGTAATGCAGGTATACTAAAAGCTAATGAGGATGAAGGAAAAAGCACAGGACTGTTCTCTTTTGTGTTAACATGTATGCTTCTCAACAATCTTTCTTCCAATTGAAACCACAACCACACTGCAGTGAGTGGGACATTTGAAAATCAAAACACAAGTGATCAAGCAGGTCATAAAGAGACTCCTAGGTGAGCAAACGCCTGTGATATCTTCCACCACAGTGCTTACGATTTGTAGTTCTTCCATTGAGCCCCTAGAGGTGACTCTTCCTCTCAGCTATAAGCTTTTAGTTTCAGGTTTATAGCAGTAAACAGGTAGAAGTGAGTTTACAATCCCAAATTTCAAAAGAAATTACATCCATGAGAAAGATTTTCTTCAGCTCTATATGCAGGTCACCAGATTCCTGAAGAAAAAGTCCATTTTATTAATTTTATTAAAATGTTGTATACAGCCTTTTCCCTTCAATATTCAGGGAAGCCAAGTCATCAGGCAGAAACTAAAAGGCAGCAGTATAGTGTCCAATGCCATGGGAATATCAACTTCTCTTAATCTGACAAAGAACTAAGGATCAAACACCACACAATTATCTGTTCCTCTAAGCAAAATGTTAATTGAATGAAACATATACACTATAAGCAGGCAGCATTCCCACAGGAGACCCAGGATGACAGAATTCTTTCACATAATCAGCTGATAGCAAGTCTCCCTACTCATTTGGTTTCTCTCCTGAAAAGACACAGCGTGGGAAATCTCTCACCCTCTGACAAGAAATAGTTTGTTTAGTCTTTCTATTCCTCCTCTACTGGGCTGGTGTTCACTGGCTTTGAGAGTGACTCCACAAAATATATATAATACAAAACCAATGGCATTCCATGTTTTTCTTTGTAAGATTGTATGATCCAAGCCAACACCTTAACAATGTTTTCTCTAAATTCTCAGGGGACAAAAAAAAAAAAAAAATGGAAATCATCTCAAAGAAGATATGTCACCTTGTCTTGATAATATTATAAACTGTTGCCTGAAGGCAAAGGTCTTATGTTCTTCTTGGTGTTTCCTACTAGGATTAGCTTCAGTCCCCTCTTCAAAGAGAACGAAAAGGCATTTTCTTTTGTTTTGCTAAATAAGCACTTATTCTCATCACATCAGACTTATTTTTAGAACATTTGAATAGAGTATCTTTGTCAGTTGCTACTTTTTAAATAGAGGTTGCTAAGGAAGGAACAGGAGTTGCTTTTCCTCGAGCAACAGTAGCAAAAGAACATGAAACAGCAGATAATTTCTTAGCAGAAACAGCAGACTAAAAGTAGCATATTTCTTCTACTGTTGTATTTCAAAAACATGGAAATGCCATCCCTCTAGTTTTTGTTTTACAGTTGTAGACATGTTCACTCCCTTTTTTCAGGATTATTTGCCTACTTCAGAGCAATCCTAGGAATTCACAGCTTAAGGATCTTGCATTCAGAATCACATTAAAGACTGCTGCCAAGACTACAAGTTCCCTGTACCTCCATGTATTTAGGTTTAACTTTGGTATACAGGAAGAAATTTGTCATAAAAAGGATTTGATTTCTTATTTTTGTTTATTCAATTTGCTGTGCATTGTCAGATGAGAACACTGGTGCCAAGAATTTGGTTTTGGGGACCCAAGCTCCTTACTGGGGCTTCTACACCCGCATTTTAGAGGATGGACTCACTGATTCTTCAGGAAGTTGACTGCTGCACACTGTTCTGGCTGTACTCACCAGGGGAAGATATCAGAACAGCAGACCTACTCTGGGGGAATAAAAAGAAAGGCTTGGGACTTGTCCACACAGGGGAAAATTCAGGGCGGTTTATCCGAATTAGCTGGAGATTTGCTGTGGATTAGCCAGAATCAAATAAAACCCCTGGGTGTAAACTTTGTTCAGAATTAAATTGTCCTAATTAAACCAGATTAACCTACTTCCAAACGTTTTACAGAGCTAGTGACAACCGACCAGAGTAGAAGGCATGAAATGATATCTAACGTGGTCTGCTGATGAACACAGCCATGCTCCCCTTATGCCTCATGAACATCACATCTCACAGCAGAACGTCGTATCAAGAGCTGACAACTGGAACGGAAGAAATTGAGTTCAAGGACATGACAGGCAGAGAATTGGACGTCAGTTCTCAGAAAACATGCAGCTGGAGCCCAGGCACAGGCCAGTTACAGCGCTTCCAGCTACAGTAATCATGGAGCACGGGATGGTTACAGGCAAGTGGAAGCAAAGCACCTTGGAAGGCATAATGACACCTTGCTTACCTCCACCTTGACTAGAAGAGCATCAGCAGACACAGGGGCCAAGTTTCTTGCAGGATATGCTGCACTTCCTAGGATTCTCTACAGAGAAAGAACAAGCTCCAGTGCTGACCACAGAACCAAGTACCTAATCCTCTGTGTTGGAAGGGGACTGAGGTTTCATGATGAGGTAAATATAAATACAGGCAGCTTAATATGAGCAACAAACCTGTTAAGAGTCATACCTTAGTCTGACAGCTTGGCAAGTGCTGAGCAAAAACCAGGCTTACCACAGTCACACGAGTGCTTCAATTCCCACCCTGGCAGGGTTCTTCCTGGGGTGTTCAGTGTCTTCTTCCCCGAACATCAGGTTAAACCTGGAAACTCTAAGAAGCTTTATCAGCCATTTTCATACAGGACAGGATGACAAAAAGGCAACACTGTGTTATACTGGAAAGTCCCTAGTGGCCAATAGCAAGTGTAAAGCTTTCACAACCCTAGGCATGCAGCAGAAGTTCAAGTGGCAGAGAGACTGTAAATACTTGCTTTGCATTCCTTTATGGAAATCCCTAAAAACCAAAAGGCCTAGAAAGTGGTGAAGGCCAAAAGCTGAAGTCATACTTCCACCTTTAGCTTTCACCTTGTCCAAGTGAGAACCAGGCAGCTGCTGGCTCCAGCTATGTCATGCTTGTAGTGCACTTCATGATCTGTCCAGTCTCTCAGAGGAGCTTGAGGGGAGAAAAAAAACCTGTTCGTGCTGGTGTACAGGAGGAAAATCCAGTCTGCTGGGGTTGAGGCAGCTGTCAGAAGCAGAGCTGGGTAAAAATGCTCTTGATGTGCCTGGAGGGAGGTGCTGCAGGTCTGGAGGTCTCCTCACCCTTCCGCCTGCAAATGCTCCTGTGTGTTCCCAAGGCCAAGGCTATGCAGGTGGCCAGGGATGTATTTGATCAAAACAGACTCAGTTTATCTGCTCCTAAAATGTAATGCACTCTGCTTTCTGATGGCAGGCCTCAGAAATACCAAAATTAGACTTCAGAAGAGTATAAAAAGCTCCCCACTAACATAATGTGCAAATGGACTGTTGCACTTACTGTGATCTTCGGCAGCAACAAAATTAGAAGGCAACAGCAAAGAAAATTGCAGATAAAAAATACCAACATTATCCTCTTTTAATATATATTATTAAAATGGACATTTTTAAAAGCCAAAGAAATGGGAGCCCAGATGCTATCACCATATATCTTATCTAGTTCCTGATCATAAACGAACAGCAGAATCCATAGAAGAGAAGCTAAAATGGCATGGATAGGAGCCCAGCTGGTGTCCCCATATGCCTTAGAAATTCCATTTTTAGGAACACAGCAGCATATAACATTAGGGATGCTTCTCAAACATCTCATTTATAAATAGAGCAGAGCTGTTTCACTGAAGTATACACGGAAAAGGTCCACAAGAATAATAAAACCAGTTGCATTCAAAATCACTGAAATGGATCAACCACACTTTTTACAGTAGGAGCCACTCTGTACCAGAATATTCCCTGAATGAGGAATGATGCTTGCTCATCAGTGGGATTTTTTTAAAAGCAATCACCAAAAAGCCATTTTAGTAAAAAAGTGCCAACTTACTTTTGTTTTGGCAAACTGTTCCTACTCAAAGCTTTTTTGGGTCCAGAATGGAAGAGGCAAAGCCCAAACTTCAGGGCAGTGGAGAGTTACAGACGTGGGAGGGCAAATTCTTGCCACTTCTGAAAATCAGTCAGAGCAGTGTCTGGAGCTTGGCTGGTCCACATTCTGGGGAGAGGAGAGTCCTTCCCCAACAGGCTGTGGACTCTGCAATACAGCTCTTCCTTTCATGCTTTTCAAGTTCACCAGAAACACCTCTAAGGGAAGGTCATTAACTGTGGGGATTCCTGGTTAATTGAGAAAATATGTCACCAAATGCAATGCACATAAAATCATAAGTTCATTATATGCACACTATCAACCAAAATATATGTAAAGCGGACACCTAAAAAAATACACTACATATGAATGAAAAATTATTTTATTTAAAAATACATTATACAGCAGAGTGTCTCTCATTTTGTTTTCTCACTGCTGGTTCACAGAGATAATATGATAAATTTAACCCAAATATTTGACTGGGAAAGATCCTGAGAAAGAGACCAGTTACAAGCTGATGATATACAGTACACTGAAAAAGAGTCATCTCTTTTAACATAAAAGAATCTCTTGGTAATCTTATAAATCAGATATAAAAAAATGCAGATTTGCTACCATGCAAAAATGAGTGAAGATTTCATTTAAATCTGCACACAGAGAAATCATTAGTACCTTGGAACCTAACTAGCTAGACTAAGAGCAGGGTAAGTGAGCTTAACACGGTGATACAAACTTTGGATCTACTACAATTTTTGTAAACACAGTTGATAGTCTAATAAAGGTGGATTTTCAATCACCTAAGTAACCTAGTTGTAGCTAAGGACTATATTCTAGGTATTTTCTCCCCATAGATATATTTCTTCCATCTCTTAATTCTCAGCTTAGCACAATGACTTCGTGGCATATACTCTATTGCACTCAGAGATGACTTGGCCTTGCCCTGTTTGCCAAGCACTCTTTAGGTAGTTGTATTTTAGAGGTTAAAACAAAAACTAAAAGCAGGTATTACCTCATGACTATGTGAGAACGCATTAAAATTCACCATAGAAAAAATATACCTGATTCTACATCCTACTGTTTCAAACATACTCTAACAATGATAAATGCACAGGAAATACACTGAACTCTGGAAAATTTAAGGCCTAAAATGCTCAACAGCCTGCACCAACCAATAGTTTTCTCCATGTTTCCATAGTGCTATTTTATCAGCTCTTGCCAGAGGGAAGCTTTCTGGCAGACGTGAAGAATGTCTTCAGTATTTACAATATTCAGACCTATTTGATGCTCAATTTTTATAGGACAACTTCACTATGAATAGTCAGCAAGACTCTTCCAAAGGGGAGGCTTAATCTGAATATTCACAGCAATAACAGAGATATGGTAACACTGACTGGTGTTGAAGAAAAATCAAGTAATCAACACCATGCAGACTGGCAGAGGATAGTTTTTTCTTTTTTTTAAGAATATGAGCCTCAAACACAAACAGAGATAAAAAGCTTTGTAGAAAGAAAATCTGCCTGTCCTTAGGCTTAGGGTCATTTAGGCTGAAAAAAAAATTAACTGAGCCATTTTGGTTTCTCCAGAAGTTTTCCATGAAAATGGGGAGTAGAAACTCAGATGAACTTTCCTCACTAAGCTGGTGACCCTCTCCTTATCTTAGCACCCATTCTCCCAGCATAGTGTCAGGGAGTACAACAATCATGAGAAGATGCAGGCTGCCTTGAATAATTTGTTTAAATGATTTATGAATAGCATGGCTGCCCATCAGATATGCTAAGCTAAGAACAGAGCCCTTAACCTTTCATGGGATATCATTAGTAATAAAGAATATATCAAAGATCAAACTTTCTATATTATTCTCATTTCTTTTAACCTAGATACATATATGTCATTCAAGACATTCAAGAACTACAAAACAACAATTCAACTACAATTATGTCAGGAAAATATCCAAATAAATAAACTTTTAATTATGATACAATACTTATTACAGTAAAAATTGGCATTTTTTTCTCTTCAAAAGCAGAAGCACCAGTCTTACATATAACATACTGTTTGAATGATATCTTACATGGAATACAGCGTAATACAATGTGCAAACAGCATTTTCATACAGAACATAATATTTGTCTAGTTTTTATACACTGAAATTGCCTCAAATGGAAACAAGTTCATGCTGAATTAAAAATGTAGATTTTAAAAATCAAAGTTAAATCAAAATACAAAGTACTGTTGGAATAGGTACATGAACCATTGAAAACAATGAGAAGCCAAAATAGAGGATAATGTCAGATAATTAGTGCTCAGTTTGTCCCATTCCATCATAAAAGTAAACAGTTAATATTTCTGCTAGAAAGTAAAGTGACGTTCTAATATTTAAGAATTCTTCAAAATGTTGGTATCATTTTAGTGATGTAAAAATCAAGTCAGAAATAGGACTTCTAAAAATTTCTTATTTTTGATACACTGCAAATATCATGTGTGGGCTGTGAAAAGAGATGAAGTCCAATGGAGTGAATATACATCAGCATCAACATCATGTGACTTCTGCAAAGGCCGTGATGTGGTTCTACGAGTTAAAGGAAAAACAAACAGATAAAAAACCACAAAACCACACAGATAGACAGCAGTCACCATTGTGAAAATTTCTGCCTCCTGTGCTTGAAGGGCAGCCTTGTACTTGGAGACTATGGCAGGATGATGTAAATAAAACTGATTTTCACTGCAGTGCTCTCACTCACTCCCATAGCAATTCTTAACTGCTGAAAGACTGGATAGGGAAGTATGCTGAACAAAGTAATTATGTGTGATGGTTCTATTATATTTTAATTTTAGATGGCTTTGGTTTGTTTTAAATTAAGTTTAATTTTCAATTACATGTGAATAATTGAGTTAGCTGTACTTTCATTGCTATGTTATTCCTAGAAATTAAAATGACAGTTTCTGACAGATTATAATACTCTATTTCAGTGTAAATATAATTTTAATACTCATTTTTTAAAGACAATTTTTTCCCCATGAGCTCAGTGGCACTGAATCAAGTAGCAAAATGTTTGAAATCAAGTGGTATCCCTGTCTCTAAGTGACACACATCTGTCTGTGATGGAGAGAATCAAATGCTCTTTCATGTGGCATTAGCTCGAGTGGATAACGATTATTTAGGGAAATCAGAATGTGGTTCACACTCCTGCCAGCTACACTTCCAAAACGAGCAGGTCACCATCCTGGGAAGACGTGCAGAGCATGGGATATAATAACCCAGAAGAAAATCTTCCTTCCTCAATAAGCCCTCAAAGAGAACTGCTAAGCTGCTGATCAAGGACCTATTGATTTGGACCCAGCTGAAGGCCTGTCAATCCATTTGCAATGGGCTCAGCAGGGTGATGCATAACTAGGTCAAAATTAATCACTTGCTGACGGCAAGAATCACTGATACAGATTCATGCAACTGTCTGGTTACTTGTGCTTCCTCGTGCTATCGTCTCAGGCAAAACTACAAATAAGCCTTGCTGAGACTCTGCAGAAAAAAACCCAACCAAACAGCACCCATTAGAATAACTACATTCCAACTATCTTAATTCTGGTTAGATTTGCTGTGACAAGGGTCAGAGTGAGATACTAACTACTGTCAGCAAACAGATTCACACAGATGAAGGCAGACAAGCAAAAAACCATGCAAGAGACCTCAGCTTCTCCAACTCCATGGGAAATTATTTTCCCTACAGTTCTCCAAAGAATCAGAAAATGCTGAGGGTCTGCTCAATGGCAGCAGTCTCACAGACAGGCAGACCAGCGTTTGTACCATCCATTCTAAGAGGACAATACCAGGCTGGTGAGCAAAGCATGCATCGTAACTGTGCTCTCACACCACTAACAAAAAAGGGAAAGCCAACGGCTAAGCCTTCAGTGCAGGTTTCTGGGGGAAATGATCCACACCTGTATATCTTCTTCTTATATATGTATATAATTTTTAATTAATTTCTGTTGATAAGCAATGCTAAAATGTCAAAGCATTGAAAAAATACATTAAACTTTTGTGATTTTCTGTTTTCATTAAATATATTAAACATTTTTAGTTTTTTTTTGCTTTGTTCTTACTGAGACAGTTAGAAACATTCAAAAATAGTCATCATCCTCAAAGAAAATTTCTCCCTTTTTGAAAACAGGAAAATGTAAAATTGTTTGTAATTTTTCCCACAGTAGAGTTCATTAAATAGAAAAAAGCTACTGTAGTACTTTAGGCAAATGATAACTGACCAAACAACAATAACAATGTTATCATCCAGGTCTCTGAGCCAGCAGAGTGTGTTTTCTGCCTTTGCTGGAAGAGAGTTTCGGGGCAGGAGGCTGCACTGAAGGTGGGGGTGTCCCTGCGGCCGTGCACGGAAGGGGCAGTGCCTGTGCCCAGCCGCACACGGACTCACTGCCTCACAGCAAGGGGCTCGCAGCGCTCCGGCCCTGACAGCCACCAGAAGAACCTCCGGACACGTGCTTCCAGGGAGGCTCCTTGCAAAGCAGCTTCTCGTCTGTGACTAATGCCTTGATTCTGTAACACCTACAATATGTTTGAGGAGGTGACACTGAATGTATTGTTCCACTTCCCATATTTAAGCATTAGTTTATCTGAGCATTAGATGTAGTGATCACCGTTTGCATTCAATCAGAAGTAATTCTTCTACAATCCCCCAGAAGCAGATTTAAGCAGAAGAGTAGGACATGAATACAAATTGAAGTGTTTCACATTGAAACAAAAGTGCTTATGATTTTTTATGAGCTGACTCTCCTAGGTATGTGTTTGTGGTATGTGTGTGAAGCAATGATGCCTCTTCTATCTCCTTTAACAGACTGTATAATCAAGAATGAACAATTATGCCAAAAACTAACTATAAGCTGATGTAAGCACATGGGCTCTCATCAAACCATCCCAAAGAGACAAGTATGGACACTGATGGATGCTTTTGGACATCAAGCACTACAGTATTTGGAGACCTCTCAACTAAAATATTTTGAACAGAAATGGACACAATCCTCTCCCCCACCTGCCCATAGTATGATGAGCTAAAGCATCTTTGTGTTTTGCTTTTAGCTGTGAGCTCAGTGAGAGGTGATCTCCCTCAAGAGCTGCAGGGAGCAGGCCAGGCTCCCTAGGCCATGGTGCTGTGTGCACACCAGGGCACATAACAATTGAAGACTTGGTACCAACATGCTTAAGATCAAGAAAAAAGCAGTAATGTTGAGAAACAAATTTTTCTGACATTGTGAAGAATCTGTTCTGTGTCTCACAAGTAATCAAGATGGAGTAATAGAAAAAAAATACTCTTTAAATTCTGAAAAGGAAAGCTCTCCCAGTTTTAACAATACAAGCAGAATTCATAGCAATATCCACACTTACTATTGCTAGAATGCTTTATTGCCATCATTACTTTTGGCATATACAGAATAGAACAATAATTACTGTGTCAGACTCAAGAAGATTTCTGAGACAGTTAACCCTGATAGTCACTAAAAACTGATACCATGGGCAACAAGAATGTCATGCTGCCAGAGGAATTCAAAATACTTATGACCATTAAAATTTGGAAATGGCAGAAGGAGAGAGTGCCTAATCTATCTCTTTCGAGTTCAGTCATGCTGGATGGGGGAGTATAAGAAACTTCATTGTAACAAGGAACAATGACTGTGCTTGGGAAGGTTTGGGCACTGCTGACAGAAGTAGCAGTATGAAGGAATGCCAAGCAGAACCATGGGGAATAAATGCAGTTTAGCTGTCACACAGAGCACTGCCAAGAACCCACTGTGCAAATAAGTAATACTGAATAGCTACAGAAAGCACTGATAATCACATACAGTAATTATCTCATCTCACAGGAGATGAACCATGATGCATCTCCTAATCCAATGCTTCCTTCTGAAACCTTCCCTCTCAGTATTCTACTGCCTCCATTAGTCCTGACATGCTCCATGGTGTATTTATATTTGATTTTTTCAAAACTAGAATACTTATAAAAAATTAGTAAGACCAGCAGAATCATAAGCTACTACATGATGGGTAGATCTCTGTAAGCCCTGGCCAATTTCAGGCGACTTTTGCATGAAATAATGTCAGTCTCCCCTGAAACAGGAAATATAGTTTGTGACTGCACTTGGATGAAGCTGAGCCTTCAAACTCTTCCAGGTACTATCCAGAATATCCCCATTTCTCAGTTATTCCTGCAAAAGAATAGGACTCCCTGCAAAAGAACAGGACTCTCTAATCTTGACTGTGGTAGGATGAGAGCTTCCTTTCTGTAGGAGACTGCCAGCTACCTGAAACACCAATTGTCTTGTAGGAAATAAAGAAGGTCAGGGACAGAATAGAATAAGAAGCAGATGGGTGAGTGATGACGTTTCTTGGCTTCCATTCTTTTCATTAATTCTGAGGATGATTATAAGGTAAAAGCACCAAGTCTGTACTGCTGAGCAGGCTCTGGCAAGGATCCCTCAAGGAGACACTGCAACTACAGCTTGACTGCATGGGTACCCATGCAGAACAGCTAAACCATCTGCATGCACCACAAGGAAACAGAAGTGTCATGCAAACAGTGATCTGACCTTGTCACTAAGCAGAAGCAGCCCAATTCAGAGTATTACAAGAACTTATGCCTATTTAAGTGCACTTCAAAGTGCACTAGGTAGAGCTCCACCAGAACTCAGACAGTGGCAGCACAGTGAGCATGCCAGGAGCATTTGTTCTCCATAGAGAAAGCACTGGAACAGCAAGTAGCAGATCTGGAAACAGCAAATAACATGCTTCCAGGTCTGTATGATGCATCATGTGCTTACTCATTTAGGGGTGAGTTTATTACAAAATAGCAATGAGTGGGGTCCTATCTAGCAGGCATTTCTAATGAAGTCATTCTTTAAGGCTGGAGTTTTTAATAGCTTGCTCCCAATACCTACATAGTTACTATTTTTTAGTACCAGTCACATAGCTGTATTGCTTCCCCCTTGCACTGCCTTAGCCTTTGGTAACTTCAGACACTTAGAATTTGTGCTACTCCCAGCAGCTAATTTCTGACAGTGGGCTGTCTTTAATATTGGTACAGGAGCGTGCAGACTGAAAATAAGGAAAAACCGTTTTAAAATAAGCAAAATGTAAATTTATGTGCATTCAGAATATTGAACTTGAATAGTCCTAACTGAAATGTAGTGAAAAGCACTCGTATCAACAGAATGAAGAGGCAAATAGCACACAAATTATTTAGCATCACTTTCTCTCCAGTGGAGAACAAATGATGTAAAATAAAAAGAGAACTAAAAAGCAAGAATTTTTGTAGTAATGGTAGTTAATTGAGATTCTTAATTTAGACCTTAGTTCCCTGAAGTATTATTCTTAACGCCTTTTATTTAACAGGGCCTGTTCTCTATCTAAAACTTTAGATTAAAAAAATATAAAAAACTCAAAACCCAAAGCATTCACATGTAAGTAACTTCTTCATCAATTATTTGCTAATCCATTTTTAAAATTTCTGGAAGTGGAAACAGAAGAAAGCATTTCCAAGCCAATTACCAAAGTCTTCGCTTTATTGTCCTTGCATCCCATCCTCTCTGTCTGGAAAGCAGAAAGGCTTTGCAACACAGATAAAGATGAACCCATAAAATGGGATCTCAGCAAGTGGTACTGTTTTGTGGTCAGTCCCCAGTTTAATTATCTAGAGAGGAGCTGCATGACAGCAAACAGCTACCATCTACTGCATAAGAATATGGGTTCAGAAGGAAAGGAGCTCATTCACATAAGAGTCCTGGGCAGTTCACAAAAGGCAGTGGTTACCCTCAAGCAGAGTAAATATTATTCCTGCCACCATCCTCCCACACTCTCCCATAGGTTTCCCCACAGCATCTCAAACTAGGCCAACTCTCAGGAAAAGAACATTGTTGATCATGAGTGAGAGGTTCTTAAACCAGAAAGAAACATGAAGTTAACATAAATCTTTATTCCCAGAAAAAAATTTGAAGATTTCAATATCCAGAGAATGTATACTTATTACCTGTGATGGCTTTTGAGCCACAGAAATGGCTTCTATTGCATGAGAGCCTAGCATGCAAATAAAACATGTTCTTAATGTGGCATGTTCCAGGCCAGCTGACAGCTTGTTTTGTTTTTACATTTTACAGAAAGTTTACTGAATGGATTATTTTGAAGATACATATTCATCATCTAAATGCTTGTTCAAGCAAATGAGATTCTGACCTCCTTACAACAAGATATCAGCAGAAATAGCTTAGACATATTTGGCTCAAAAAAGGCACATTAGACCATTCTGAAAAGAAATATTTTGTCCCTTCAAGGAAAGGAATAAAAAACCCAGGACTAGCAGCAATTCTTATTAAAGAACAACTTCCACCACTTTCAAGTGAATGAGACAGATTGGGCAGTGGTTGAAAACCCTTATGTTGAAAAAAAAAATATCAGAATTAATATGGAATTAAAATAATACCACAGAAAAATACTTTTGGTGCTCTATCACTGTAGGATTGTTTACCATCTTCAAATATGGGCATAAACCAATAGATTTTAATGAATAATGCCAGATACATTCATCAGAAAAAGTAAACCTTCCTTTAAACTGCATTACTAGTTCAAAGCTCCCCCTTGGTAAAAACGTCTAAAATATTTTCTGTATCTGTTTGCTCATAAAGTTAGTCAGACAATCTTACCTAACACACACCATCTCCAAAAATATAAACGGTTATCACAGTAAACCAAAATAAATTTTAGTTTGATACTTAAGCAAAAAGTCTTGGCATACCCAGGAGACTCTCACTAGCATACACCTTAGTCTAAAATCCCATGAGTTCTGACCAGAGATCATGGGGTTAGTGCAGTTACTGTATGGCCCATGTCACTCTCACTTCCAGGGGGGTACCCTGTCCCGGGGTTAGCTCATGTCTGATGATAGAAGTCCCATAGCTGATCCAAAAGGGACTGCATCCCATGCTCTACACCAGGCTGAGGACATACCACAAACAAATAGGATAAATGCCACTTGTACCTGAATTGCAAAGCCCCTTGGGCCAGGGGTTAGACTTTCTTTCTAAGCATTCTAAGAACTTTGTACGTTCTGTGGACTATCAGGCAGAGCATTAATCACATTACTTGAGGAACACAAGGGAAGAGAGCCTCAGATCTACTCAGCCTATCTCCATGGGCTTAAGAGCAGCTACAGCAGTGAAATGATGACATGAAGAACCTCCCAAGGGTGTCACTGAATTAAATTCTTTCCTTCTTTCTCCTTCACTGACATGTTTCTTTATTTTAAATCTGATTACCTTGGCACTCTTGTCAGAATAGTCTGTGATCATCCTTCCAGAGTGCTACATTTTATTTGTTTTTTAAAAAGTCAGACATTACCTTTTCTAAAGGGCTTTCTACTCTGGGTATGCTGATCATGGGCATCTGGGTCAGATTATCCAGATGAGAGTGTTCATGTTCTGGCTGACGTCCTCTGAAGTTATTTACCACACAAACAACCTAGAAAGGATTTGAAGATAAACAGAATACCTAAGGAACAACTCAGTTTTTCAAGCTTTGATCCTGACAATTACCATTAGGCAGAAATGACACCAGCTTTAGTCACAGCTTTACAGTAGAAACACTGAAATGTGAAGTTCATGTTTTACAGAAAATCCTTAATTAATATTTCAAGACAAAAGACGTTCAACCAATTTATTGGTACATGCGTCATCTGAGAAGCAAAAAAACCTCTTATCTAAAAGAAAATCCATTACAGAAGCTGCATAATAGAACACCAATTATTACAAATCCCATGAAGAAATATCTTGCTGCATCACATGGCATTAACCTTAAACTCCTGGGGGAAGGCCAGTGCCATCTCAGAAAGGGAATAAGAAGGCAAGGACCATGCCCAAGTCTCAATGTAACTTTAAATCTGCTCAGGGCAGCAGACTCTCACACAGGGACTCAGGAATGTGATATGTAACAGTTTGTGCTTCTACTAATTCTGACACTCAGCTGAGCAGCAATGTTTGCCAACTGCATTTTCTTCAAAATACAACTAAATTTGATGCCATGCTACTGGACACATTGTGTGGAAAGAAACATTTGGAAATGCAAGCAGATGTATTTTAAAGGAAACTTGCAGCTCCCCTTGCATGTGTAGAGGAGTGAAAACACCCACCCCAGCCATCCCTGGGAGGGTTCTCAGCCAAGCCAGGCTTTCAGATCCAGGACCTGGAGACCAAGACCCTGCGACCCAAGAGTCAAGCTCAAAAGTGTTTTCATGGGGAAAAACTTCAAAGGTTTATTTAGTACTATTACAAGCTGCCAGGCAGACAAACCTACAGGCATTAACCAGCAGTGACTGTTCTATTCTACAGTCTTGCACTGCAGATATATTAGTGAAGGTGATTAATAGATTAGAAATAGTTTTCTGACACACACTGTAGTCACTGGCAACTGTGATTAACTATTTGGTTTTGGAACACAGCTCCAGAAAAAAGAAAAGGCTAAACAAAGATTTTTTGATACAGAATAGTATGAAATTTCAACATAAACCTGAATCACCATGAAATAAATTCATTAGAGTTACTGTAAAGCCAGAAATACAAATGCTACCTCTTCTCTGATTAGTGTGGGTACCACTACATCGAATTTAATACTTTATACATTAAATCATAACTATGTGGTATTCTGAGGAATATATACTTCCTGCAAGTGGGCCTTGCTTCAAAAATTAATTTGAAATGTTACAGTCCGGTTCATATGGAAGTCAAACAGATAACTGGATCAGTCCTGTCTTGACTTCACATTTCTGTGTGTATGTAAATATTACTAAGGAAACTGATGACTAATTAAATAACTTTTGTTATTTAGTTATCTGAAGGTTTTTTTAGAGATACAAACTTATCCATTGATTTTTTTCAAACAGAAGTGACACAGACACACACTTACCAAAAATACTGCTATAGATATTCCAATTACAAATCCTGCTATTACATCTGACCAGTGATTTCGATACTCTGCTACTCTGTTGATTCCAGTAAGGAAGGCCAAGCACATTAAACCCAAACACAGAACAGGTTTTGCAAGCCTTGTTCCTCTGGCTTTCACTGTGTTGGTGATATACATCTGAAAATTAGAAAGGAAGAAAGTGTAAGACTGATGGATGTCTCCCACTAATTGGTGAATAAAAGCTCCATATTTTATTTGAATAGACTATGTGTATTTGGTGCCTTTTCCAGAGTGGGGAGAGGGTGTGAAGAAACTAGGAGGTAGAGTAGTAGATAAAGTCATCACATCCTTTTCCTGGGGATATAGAAAAAGAATCAGACCATACAGCAAAACTGAATTTTACATGAACCTGAAAAGTGTACAGGAAACCAGGCAAATAGGAAAATCCTATCCAATTACTCTCCATCTGTGTATTTATTTATTAATGCATAGAAGTAGAGACTGATTTTTCACTGTGCAGTGTTGACAGTAACAGAAAAATATCTTTACCCTTAAGTACTATTAGTACCATTAGCAGCTGCCAGGTAGAGTAAGCAAGGGAATAAAGAAAGATCTTGTTTTTATTAGCAAAAGTATTTCTTCCTTATACACCACTTCTTCACGTGACTAATTAGCAATTTGTCAAAAATCAGTGAAAAGTTTTAGTTTTAACCAGTGAATATAATAAGTTTCAACAAGTGATGGATTAACATAACTCCATGCTTCACATAAATCAATCTAAATGCTGCAGGCTTTATGCATCAGCCTGAGAAATCCATTTGCTCTGCTGCAGCCCAATTCTCCCTGTGCAATACTACTGAATTAAAAGCAGTGCCTGATAACAGAGCAGCTCTTCTGCCCTAAGAGTGCATTAGTGACTACCAGGTTTAACCCAGTACTTTCCAAGCTCTGATAAGCCAATGGAAGAAATTAATACCAACTATTTGACTTTCCATTCTCTTGAATCTTGGCATTAAGACCGCTTGGAACACTCCTCCTCACCCTCCAAAAGTAAATTATACTTCAACTAACAAGATTTTTGACAAAAAACGTTTCTACTCTCTGCAGAAGATGTTTCTGTAATTAAACTACTGAAACCCTGAATCTTCAAATTTTAAAGAGGATTTAATTTGTCGAAGAGGAGAATGCAAGTATTCCCTATGGAGTTTCATTGCCAATTCCAAGTTTGTAATGCCATCATTTTGGACTGCGAAGGAAAACAGATGAGTCTGCATTGAAGAACCAGTACCACTTCCTTGGCCAACAAATGGGCAGTCCTTTGGGTCTGGAGATTTTTTTTGTACTGTCTGAAACTTCGGTGGAATTTACCAGGGAATCAGTTTACAATGTCCTGCAATAATCCTGCCAAGAAGCAGTTTAGAAACTGGTTACAGTTGCAATAAATTAAGCAACTAAGTAGTGGTCAGCACTCGTCTACAAAGAGTAACATCTAACAGTAATTTTGTTCAAAAAACTAGAGAAAGATCCATGCTTAGAGGATGAAACACTTTTAAAATCTTTAAATTGTTTATCTTAAATCGTAATCTTAAAATAACATCAGAGAAGTGCAACACACAAACCTTCAGTGCACTTTGTATGATGAACAGGAAACTAGTAGAAAGATTTCCACTAATTCAGACAAAGCAAAAGTTTGGAAAAAAAATTTTGGGGTTTTTCTCCAAGGCACATTCTCCTCTTTTCTTCTTAGACCATTTCAGAAACCACCTCTCTCTCTCTTTGCTGATTATTCTTCTATCTTAGCTGTTTGTATTTTATGCAGGCTGTCTTCAGTGAGTTACTCTTACCATGCAGAAAGGTGATAAGATAACTGCAACTTTCATATCCAGCTTTTTAGCCCCACTGGTTTTCTCCAAGCTATAGACAGCGTACTGCTCACTGAATTAACTCAGCAACTATCTGTTCTACTAAGTCTCATTGTTCTATTGGACACTACCACCATTATCCACATTCACACCACAAATTAGGACAGCTGGTGCTAGGAAAAACATTGGAATATTTTTAATACACAATAAGAAAATCGAATTTTAAATACAGCTTGGGTGAAGTTGACAAAGGGGAATTAGTAGGCAGGTATCCTGCATTTAATTCTGTATTGTGTTATAATAAATTGAAATGACTACTGAGAGGGAAAAACTTGCCTGTTTAAGGCAGGTCATGTTGACATATTTCAGTTATCTATAACAACTGGTCATTGCCCAAGAAGATTATCTCAATTTTTAATAAGAAGAAACACATTATAGTACTAATAATTGATTCTGCTTCAATCAAATTTCAACATTTTTAATACAAAGCTGAACCCAAAAGATGTTAAGCATAAAATTCTCTGCATGTTTGTACAACCAAGCATGTCCTTCAAATCCTAGCACTGAAGAAAAATAATTGCAGATTCATGCTGTGCCTCACATGAGTAGAGACCTCCATTTGCCAAGTCCTCTCCCTTATGGGAGCAGTCATGGTTCTCATGCCCAGTCCACTGCTCAAAATAACCTGAGAGTTCTGCCAGCACAGATACCATTTCTATCTTTTCTTTAAAGAACAGGTAGCACTCATGTAAGGAATAGCATTATATTACAAGAGAATCAACAAAAACAGGCCAAACTTTCCTGAAACAGTGCAACAAAAACTCTGTATAGCAAATATAGCCTCCTCTAAGGCAGGATTCATATATATCCATTTTGAAATTTGGCCTCTTGCAGCTCTAGTATAATATATTAACATAGTCAACAACCTGATTTACACTAAGAATAAAATATAATTAAGCAGCTGTTTTCTTCCTGATTCTGGTGGAAAAACTATAAACCAGCACACTCAGTAACTGACAAAGAATAAACAGCCTGAAAAGATGACAAGATGCTTCACTTACTTTTAATAAATATTAAATGCAGTATCAATAAAGGAAAATAGCTCAGTGATTTAAAAGAATAAAAATTAATGACAATATAACATTTTACAGGGCTAAAGATGTTTACTGAACAACTTCATCTCCATTCCTTTTAAGAACAAAAAATGGGAGAGGAGTTTTCTAATGAAAGAAAACTTTTAACTTAGTCAACAGCAAGACCAACAGCAGATTTTGTATGTAGGTCAAGGATTGATACAGTAGTTAGAATTAATATAGCAGGCTACACCTTCTCTTGCAACATGAGAACAGTAGTGAATCTTCTCTCGAAGATTCTCTGCTACAGCTGTTCCTTTTTCCTGAAATAAGATTTTAGTATTAAAAGATACAGAGTTGTCACCAGTAAGCAGACACAGGCAGAGTCATGTAAGGAGGTGGATTATTACCTGATAACACAATATAACAATATTTACTAGATTTTCAGAAAAACACAAAACATTTAACCTTCAGTCTTCAAGATATTGGAAGTGAAGCTGTAAGAGAACCTCATAAATTGAAAGAAAACCTTTAATTGAAGTGGGTTTGAAAATATGAATTTGAAAGAAACTATCACCATCACCACCAAAGACAAAGCAAGCTACCTGTGAGGTTTCTGATGTGACTGGCTGAGGCCATAGTGGAAGGAACAATCACAGCCTTGCCATTTAGCTTCTACTGGGAAAGTACTTCCAAAGTGTCAGGTTGCAAGTCTCATGTGAAGTTTGTCCTAAATCTGCTACAAATAATATCATTCCAAAACACGTTAACATAAAGAGCAGGCACTGTATGTGAAGTGCAGGACAAAGTGAATTCCTGGGCTATGCTGCAAGCTCTTTCTAGGCATCTTTCAGCTATCTTTAGGCCCACCCACACCAACATCTATGCACACAAACACAGGTGTAACAGGTCTCAGAATCCCATTTTAGCTACACTGGAGCTACACATCAGGCTGGGTGCTCCAGCCAGGAGAGAAGATAAATTTTTTTGTTGATTTCATCAGCCTGGGGCCCAGGGATGCAGGTAAGAAGATCCCTTCTGTGTCTGCTATTTCATTTCTCCATTATTTAGATGGCACGGGAGACTGACAAAGACCCACCAGTGGGCAGTGAATTATGACTCATAAGACAACAAGAAGAATGAGGAAGAAATCATTGTACAGGCACCCATCCCAGGCAGCACTTCAAACATAAATTATCTCATGTTTTCTTTTGCTTTTACAATGTGCTAGCATTAAATATATAATATTGAACTATTTAAGTACTATAAGTAATGTTATAAATGTTCCACCCAAGGGATTTTCAATATTCATCAGACCTACAAAGAAAAGAGACACTCATACCAAAAAGCTGAAAAAACAGTGGGCTGCTGTAGTCCATAAACAGTTTAGTTAAGTTAGAATCCTGTTTGATAATCTAAAGTCTTTTCAGCTCGCTTTGGTAATTAATGGGTTAAACTATTTCTAGAGCAAACCAAAATCATTCTCAAATCATCTGGGTCCTTCTGCAAGTGTCCACTGAAGATTTCTTTTAGTGTTTCTGAAGCCTCCTTCAGCTTTCTTTATATGTTTTGATCTAATTATTTATGACCCTACACAAAAATTAGTTTTCAAAGTCAGGAGCTGGCTTGGCAAAAGAAAAAGAAAGCTCTATAATTTTGGACCTTACTATTAATTTTCCCACTATAAGCTCCCCACAGCTGTAGCTGTAAAACAACTGGAGAAGATAAGAGAGAACTTTCACTGTACCAAGGCTGTTTTCTTGAGGAACTGAATTGTAATGAAAAGCTGACTGACACGAAATTTATAGAGGTCTTTAGATAAATTCCTGGATCAAATGGTAATATTACTTTATTATTTGGTCTGGAAGAAACCAATACACTCAGTACTTGAAGCTCACGACAAATGTTTTATTGTCAATATTGAGGGATACTTGCTGCACCAGATACTGAAAAGAAATTCCACATTCCTAGCACTGTCCATGAAAGGCAGCCAGAAGAATCTTTTTGTTTCCATTTATTGTTAGGAAATTAAGTCAATTCAATGAAGTGGCTCTGGTAGTCCTTTTCCTCCTGAACACTCCCTTAAGTGTGTCTGAGAGGCCTTCATGCCTTCACCAGCTGCCCCTTTAGCTGTAATATAACAGGTACTTCAAGACAAAGGACAGCTAAGTCTAGACCTACACCTACAGGTGGATCAAGGAGGGACAATGAGGAGGAGAATGTCAGCATGTTGCCAGCACTGTTATCCAGACTGTCTTGTTGTCTTTTCTCAGTGACTTACAAACACACTCAACAGTACAATCAGTGCAGCAAAATGCCAGGAGCAAGAGCCATACAGAAAATACCATCATGGGCCAAAGAAAAGCTGTGCAGAGAGGAAAAAATTATTTGTCGGATTTACAATCTGCTAGTCCTGTCTGAAGTCATAGCTGAGGCCAAGGGTACACAGTACAAAGCAACAAAAGCTGCCCACAGAATTAAGGGCTGTGTCAACTATCAAGACATGAAGCCTGTTCCTCTGTCATTACAAACCCAAAGTAAGTCTGCAATACATGCAGTAACACAAAGTTCAAACATTACCCTACTCAACTGCTTTAGTGCAATACAATAAGAACAACAAAAAAAGGGCAAAACTTTATAGAATTAATTAAAATTTCCCTTAAACCACAGCTAGCAATGACCAATCCCCTAGGTCTGCAGTACCAAAGGACAGCTGTTAGTCAGAATCCTTATATTTAAATCTATGGGAATAGGCTGACTAAATCTTCGTACATCACTTTGAAATCCTACCAAAAAAAGACTCATGACTTCCATTTCCTGTGTCTCAGTTGTGGAAAACACCCCAAGTATGTGCATACTTGGCTGCTTCAAAACTTACCTCTAATTGTCCAGGCTATGTCAGCTTATTCATATCAAAATGTGGCTCATATAACTACATACTGTTTAATATTGTTTGCCTTAATACCTATGTAGCAAATATTGTTTCAGCTGAGACAGGGTGAATTGCAATGCTGATAAGAAATGAAAGCAGATGCAGTCAACTTAGTAACCCAACTCAATCAAAAACAAACAAAAGATCTCAAATGAGCAGACACCTAAGGAAAATTCCAGGCACCAGCCAGATTAATTAGATTTCAGAACAGATTTACAGTAGTTCATTTTGAAAACACTGGTACACTGGAAAGAATGAACCTGGAAGTCTGAAGAAGAAAGGCAATGCATCTGTGTTTGGAGCAGGGTAGAGAAAACACCTAACCACAGCACTGCCATTCCACATTTCCATTGCTTAAGTCTCAAAAGGTACTGGAAGTAATGGAAGCAAACATTACAAAGCTCTAAATATCAGCAAAACAACTGTTTGAAAACGACTGTACTTTGAAGCAGGAGGGGAATTCTGAGTTACCATAGCAGCCACCCACTCTCAAAAGGGGGGAGAGGGGAAAAGCAGAAGACTCATGAACTTAGATGAAAAAAGAAGCTATTGTTAACAAGACAATATGCACAGATGCTAGGTGATAAGGACGTGGCTGCACTTAAATGGAACAAGATAGGGGAATTATTAGATAAATCATAGGCTTTGTTTCGAAATGGGCTGATTGGTGAAATCACACAAATCAAAAGCATTTATTTCACCACCTCAGAGAGCAAGGACCCTTGGGTCAGCTCTTTGTGTGTTTTTTTTCCTTTAAACTGGTTTTGTTTTGTGCACAGCTGGCTGAAATATCCAGAGAGGATTCCATAACAATCTCTCCCTCCCTCCAAAATTTCTGTTAACCAAAAACAAAGTGTATTTTGTACTAAAGATTATATGCTAATGAAACAGTGAGTAATATATGGAGGTATTTATGTCCATGCTCTCAATAACTGTTGTAGCATAGCTCATACAAAGACTAGGCTACTGTTTTAAATCTTCTACTCCAGTGAACAGTGATGAGAAAATTGTTATTTAGGGCCAACTATCCTGATAAACATGATTGGAGTGTAAGGACATGACCCCAGATATTGGAACATTGAATATTTTTTTCCCTTGGAGTGTAATAAACAGTATTTTTAGCTTCAGTCATGCTTAGGATTTAAGGAAAAAAAAAACCAGAACAATGAACCTGTCAATATTGTAACAAGGAGCTACTACAGGAACCCAGAAGTCCTGAGAGTAGTTTATAGTGCTTTAGTTAAATGATAGCAGTGTCAAGCACCATGCAGCAGTACAGTAATGACATAGGATATATTCATTTCTGTAGTTACTGAAAGGGCAAATAGTAATGAAATGGATCTCAGCAGCTTTAATTTTTTATATTGCTAACTGTATATTGAGCATAGACAAGGTCTGCATAAAGTATTCTTGCACACGTCAAAAGCCACTTAGATATTAAACCTTACTGATGTCTACTTTTTGTTTTTAAAATGTATTAATATTATTTTACTTTCTGCTTTGCAGTAGCTGAATAGCTGGTTTCCTAGTTACTCTGACTCATGGCAACAGTGGAAATCCAACTTTACAGATGGATGAGAAAAATAGGAGCAATTAAAATGAAAAATTTTGAGTATTTTCTAAAATAGTTTGCATCAAATTTAGAGTGTTTCATCCTTAGATATATCCCCAAATAAAGACAATACTAGTAAAAGATTTATACTTGCCTCAAGTTAGAATAGAATATTATTGCTCATCTCTTATTTGCAAACACTTGCCTGTACTAACTGATGACCAACATCCCTTAAACAGACATTGCTCACAAGGAACCTGGTAAATGTTACCAACAGTGCTTCAGATTTTAAGTAACTGATTCTAAAACCCTCTGCAGAAGCACTCAGTTGACACATTGTCTGTGGCTGGGGCTAGGATCTTTGCCATGCTGTCAAGTATCAGTTTCCAGATCAATCAGGAATTAAAAGTTAGCTCAACTGGTATTTGTTCAAAAGCAATATTCACACTGTAGACAGGCATATCTACATGCATATATACATATATATATATATACACACACACATCTATGGGCAGCCCACTGCTCAAATACTGAGGGAATGTAAGGGCTGACTCCTGCAATGAGCACAAAGCTACACACACCTGCCAAGTTTCCCACGGCCACTATGAAGGCAGTCCTGGGCTCATCCAAAGGGCTGCACGGGGCTGTGATTACCAGCACAGGTCAGGTAAGACACTCCCACAGGCATCTGCTGGGGACAACTTGGCCCCAGCACAGAAACAAGATGTGCTTGCTCCCGCTTGAGACTAGAACAATATGCACTCCAAACTAAGCCAGAGTTAACTTGAGTGAGACTAAATGGTGACTCTTCCTCTCCCCTGCCCCTCTATAACCTATACAACAGCTCTGATCCAGGCAGTAAACACCAGGTTTTATCCCAGCACTGCTCATTACTCCCTGTAAAATAGAGGAGAGAGGGAAAAAATGGTGAATTGTCTTGTAGCCCACTTTATTGCTTAAGAGCCAAACTGACTTTGTGTGAGGTTCCTATAAATACCAATTCTGGTACCAAAAGACACACAAGGATCTTGAGAAGCATGCAGAGGTCAGACATACATATAGCTCACCCTTCTGCTTCAACCTCAACAAAGAATATGGCCATGTGTGATTCTACTGATCTGCACCGGGTTAAAACTCAGAGTGGTACCATTACCAGCCAGAGGAAATCTCTACTTTTACTTCTTAGCACCCAGCAAAGGATTGTTCCATACACTCTGGAAATGGGGAAAAAGTAATCCAAACCCTTCATGGACATCTTGCCCTCTCTTAGCATTGTCTCAGCTTTCAAGGCTCAGAACCTACTACATTTTATCAGAATTAAGCCAAATGAATCATTCTCACAGTAACTCACTGAAGGTTTGCATAAAATCAGCCAATTTTGGGTCTTATCTTCTGCCCATTCCTCCCTCCTCCCCCTCACAGTGCCAGCCATTTGCTTTCAAAAACACAGTGATATTAAATAATATAATACTTACAGCCAGATACATAGCTGCATATATGCTTAGTGCTGCTTCTTTGGATGGGAAAGTCTTTCTGGCTTTCATGATAAGGTCTGGATTTCCAGTACAGGCATGTACGCTACTGATGAATTGTGTATACTGTTTACATCCAAGTGCTGTATAGTTGGGTTTACAAAGTGCAAGAAAATGGGGTGCAAGATTCCCTGTTACTACTTGTCCAGCATTTACAAAGATGTCCGTAGCGAACAGTCCAAATGCGTAAATTCCTAAAGAGAGAAACAAAGAGTTACATTTCCTGACAATTTATAGTATTTATCACAGCAATACACCAACTTCTTCCATTCAAGAACATGAAAAGTCCTCCCAGGTACGGTAACCTAAAGACCATGGCTTTCACTGGAGATGGTATTTTCCTACAAAACTGCAGCAGCAGCACTGCAATGTACCCACACACCTGATGTCTCTCCCATCTTTCACAGGAACTGTCACCCCTTATGCAAGGAGCCTGCTGTCCCAGGCCTCTAGCCATGCATATCCCGTTTGGAGTGGCTGGCTTTACTGGTACCTAACTTTTGCCCACGTTCACTAAACAAAAGTGACAGAGAGAAATTCTTCACCCGATAAATCTGCTTCAAAACCAAGGTCAGATCCTTGGTTTGGAGAATTAACTTGGAAAGTCATAGCACAGACTGGAAAAAGTTTTTTTTTCCCTTGCAGCTGTAAAGAATCTAAAGTACTGAATAATTCAACATAGCCATGCACCAGTTGTCTTCATCTGCCTGCTACTGGGTAAATCTCTATGCATGGCATATTAATCACAGTATCAACACAGTGAGCTGAAGATTTATATATTTGAGGAACTACTTATGCTAAAGAGTTTTTTTAATCAGACATATCAGCAAAGCATTAAGCACATGTACTCATTCATTAGAATGTAAATGCATATACTGATTACTTAAAAGAAAACAGATTTCTGCTTTTCTGAGGTCCCTCTCTATCCTTTTGTAAATACAAAATGAGCTCTGGAAGAACATGCAAACACAGCAGCCTGACCAGCAGGCAAAGTCAATGGGTGCTTGTTCCAATTCCACCTGAGCTATAGATTCTCCCTGTATTTCTATGGGCAGATCACTTTACCTTTCCCATACTCCAATTCATTGTGAATATAGGGTGAGTTCTGGAAAATCCCAGTTTCATGGGGCACTATGAGGACTTTAATGGCTCAACATCACAGCAGATGTAATTCCTCAGAAACATACATTTATAAAGGTCAGGATTTTTCTTAGTAAAGTTAGAGGACCAAGAGTGATTTCTGGTACCCTGGCTGGTCAGCAATGACACATAAATGCTAATTGCTCCCAAGATGCTAGACTCTGGTGAGCAGCACACTGTGCCTGGCCATGCCATTTCACAGAAGGGCCTTCCAGCCAGCCCCGAGGGTGTGCACTGCACAACACAGGTGGACACATCACTCTGGGGGAGCATAATGGGTAACGATGCCTCACCTGCTGGCACAGTGGAGAGGCTTTGTTCACTCCTGCCACCCTTACCAATTTTTGCTTCTGTGAGGAAGGAAGGGACCACTCAGTGGGAAGAAAACTCAGGCACTGATTATACAGAGAGGACCTGTAGTGGGAGGAGCACCTCATCATCACTCCCCACCTCCTCCAGACCTATACAAGACAAGTCTCCTTACCGGGAGCAATAACACGCTGGGAAGGCAGGCACAGTGGTTACACAAACACTACAAATACAGGCACAGCTGCATAAGCCCTCCCTACCCCTGAGACTGGGACACAAAGCAGGATCAGCTGCCCCAAGGCTTCATTCCTCCAGCTGTTTCTTTTAGATACAACCATGACAGAGATGCAAACAGCAGAACTGAGACCCTCTACGGCATCCCTACACGTATTAAAAAGCAGCATTTGGAAATGTTCAATACACATTTTGAGTGGTGGGATTTCTCGCTCCAAATACATTTAGAACAAGTAGAAAAGATGACATCTCATATCTACTAAAGCCAATGGGGGAGTTTCAGCCAAAACCACTGTAGAGTTATGTACAATTATGTTCTGCTAGAGACTATAATACAATATCCAGGCTAAGAAAGCAGCTAAATCTGCTTGGCTTCAAACACACATTTATATCTCAATGTCTTCAACTTTGCTGTGTGTATGTTTACTATCAACTATGGCACAAGGATATCACCTTTCTCCACTTCACCCCACTTCAGGCCTGCTGGTTGTTTTTCCCCCCGTAGTGGTCCCAGTTTCTTCTACTTTTACTGCTGTTTCCGCAACTGTATTTAATCCAAACTCCAAAAAGCTTCATTTGCTACCTAAAAGGAAAACTGCACCTGACTTAAGACTACACATGAAATGTTATATGGTTATCTGAGTATTTTCCCCAGGTCAAAATTAAGACAGAATTAATCACTCTCACCATTCAGAAAATGAAAGCAGTAATTTTGCTCATACCAAGGAATCTGATGGTCCTGCGCACCAGTGGATTTATATAACAACAGTCTCCAGTTAATATTGTTTTCTCTTGGTTTTCAAAATCCTTTGTAGCTAACTGTAGACAAAAGACTGCAGTTTCTCCAACGATAATCTTAGGGGAGGAGAAAAAAGGAGAAAGAAATGGTGCATCAGATTACAGCATGTAAAATACACTAATATTAGAGAGACAGACATCTCATCTTAAAGAAACAAGACCAAACCAGCACAAAAGAGAGCATAAGTGAATCAAGTTCTGTACATTAATATTCTTATGAAGGAAATATGCCTTATGGCTTGCTTTACTTTATTTGCCTTAAAAGAGAATAAATTATTACAACCAGGATTTATAGTCAACATAACACAACCTAGTTTTCAGGATGAGGAGAAAGAGAAAGAAATCTGTTAGTTCAAGAACACCAGATCACATAATGCACAAAATCTGGACCAAAGTAAAGGCCTAATCCTGGAAGATGTTGAACATTTCAGTTCCCACATGGCATTCACTGACACTCAGCACTTTGCACGTTTGAGCTTTAAATTTTGGACTATGATAGAGAGAAAGGGGAAAAAAAGGCCAAAAGAGAGCTCCTGTTCACATCAGAGGTTTGGTTTGCCAGGAGGTACTTAACAGGGTTTGATTCACATTTTGCTAGCTAGATTTATCAAGTCTGGCTTTAGCTCTGCTCCTCATGCTTGAACAAAGTGTCACAACTGATATTTTAAAATTAAGAATGGCCTGCTTCTCATTCACTCCACCAAAATAAAGTTCTCATGTCTATATATCATTCACAATATAGCTGGCAAAAAAACATCAAAATCATCAAATGAGAAAAAATATTTTAAAATGTAAAATATCTTCTCTGGCTTATGTATTTACCTGTACAACAAAGCATGACCTTTAATTTATTCACCACAATTGAGACTCAATAGCCAAAGCCAAGACTTTAAGCAGGTATCTATCTAAAGCTAGGATATTGAAGCTTTATGGAAGGAATAATTGAAAAGCAGAGCAGAAGGGTCAAATACAGATCAGTGGATTCTAACCTTAATTTACTGTGGGACTTACAGGCAAGGCTCTTCCACTCCTCTACATGAAAAACTTAAAGCTTATTGACAGTTACATCACATTTTGATCAACAAGAATGAAGACTACCAAAGTGAAATCTTAATACTCCACAAATACAAGCAATAATGCCATCAAATCTGATTAACTGCTGAGGTTTTTCTAAATCTTTGCCCTAACAGGAAAATATACATCTTTTCATATATAATACAATAGGTCTGAACAGTTCTACAAAATAAATAAAATATTCTGCAGGCACTGGCTCACGTGCACATTTTGTCATCCACAGGAAAGATGCAATTAATGATCTTCCTTAGCTGTTTGTAGATTATGCAGATACCCTTGGGAGGGTAAATTGTGGAGGAAAGTGCTACTTATAAATAATGTGGCACAAGTAACAAAAACATCTCTGGAAGCAAGTCTGTCAAAAGCAAAATTTAATTTGTCACCAAAACAGTCATTATCTATTACTTTAGACTGGCTTCAGATCCTAGTGGAATTTTTAGATAAAAAGAAATTTCAACACCTGAACCTACAAATATCCTCTCTCTATTGTGATGTAAGCAAATTTTCAGCCAAGTGAAGTGGAATTTCTTCATCCATAATTAACAAGTGATCAGTATGAAAAATAATTCAACCTTGGATTCAAGATCATCCAAATTATGAGAAGGAAAATTCAACCCAGTGATCCCTATAGCTCTTATGAAAAAACATACCAAAAATATCAGTTTTAGCATGATTCATACAGGTAAGAAGAGAAACGCTAATACTTTTACTGTGAGTCACAGTAATGCTTTTCTTTCCTCTCAAGGACTAGGCAACCTGAATAGAGTCAGACTCTGCCTTTAATTCTTTTTGCCAAACTCTATAGATTTCAGTAAAATTTTCACAGATTTTGAAACTCCAGGAAAGAGCAGAATTCAGCACAAAGGAAGCATCTGTAAGATACAGTGCTCAACCTTTTGCAAGAACACCAAGAGTGCCAGCAAGCTCAACTCTCCAGCTCTGAACAGAGCCTGAATCTGCTGATCTAAGAATAAAAATTGTCTTCTTGGCTGGTAGGAAAGCTGGGGTTTACTAAAGAGAGAACTGCTTTTTCAGTTATAGGAAAGGAGATCCTCACTTCCAGCAATCTGTCTTCATCGGCTGCATCTAGATCTTTGCTGCTGCCGACAGTTTCTCCTTGTTACATTTCCTGTCTTTGATGGTGACCTCTATGAAGAAAACCCTCTGTTCCAAGAACAGCAGCATTCAAGTTCTTAGTCGAGTAAGAATACTCTGAGGGTGGGCACGTAGGTGCAAGGGTCAGAAGGATGTGGAATTAGGCTAAAGACAAAACTTCTGCTGCAGAAGGCCTAGTGCTCTACTGTCAGAAGTAATAAGAGTCATTGAGCACACAGGGCATTCATCTCCGTGCTTCCGCGGATTCGCTTCGATAGATTCCTTCTAGAATTTGGCAATAAATACAGGTTCTTTATTTTTCTGTACTGGCAGCTCAGCTAAAGCTGTTCTCCTTCCTCCATCCTTCAGCACAAGCACTGCTCATCTCAATAATCAGCCTATTGATGTTTCAGAAATGTAAGAAAAATCCTTTTCAATCTCAATAAAACCCAGGAGAAATTCTGCTTCCCAGTGCAATTCCTTTCCTTTCTTCTTTCCAGCATCACTGGCAATAATCAGCTCTACAGAGCAGAGGAAAGGAGAACAGTATCCCTCCTACACTTTACAGCAATTTGCATGCCTGGTATATTGCTGGAAGGAGCAATTTCTGTATTCCTGCTAGCACAGGAACCACCATTACCCCTTTCACTGCATATGCGAGTTGTAACCAGCCAACAAATGACATTTAATTTACCAGAATTATTTGTGTACTTCTTCTCTAAGTCTTGGGGTAAAAAGTTTTTGGAATATTCCAAAACTGGCAGTGAAAGATTGCAATGAAGAATCTGAATGTTCTGATAACATAAACACCTGGACAAAAGTACACAAGTTCAGGTACAGGAATACGATTGCAATAAAAAAGAGAGGATATTAGAAACATCTTTTACCTTATTCTAACAGGGTCATACTACTTTAGATCACTGTACAAATCTCCCAAAGGTATGTATTAAAATTCATAGCTCACAGATATTTTAAAAGTTATTAAAAGCCATCCTTCCATTTGACATATAGCTACAGCATACAAAGTATAAGAAAAAGAACAATTTTCATCTGAAGTCTAACAGTACAAAGTTCAGGCTCTCCAGTATTCTGAAGAACATATGTATAAACAACCTGCAGAGTCCTTAGATAAAAACACAGTGTACATAAGTGTTGCAACAAGGAGCAAGACAAGAACAATCATTTACTCTTATGGAAGCACATAAAAAATATTAACCCAGCAAAAATTAAATTACTGGAGTTCTTGGAACCATCTCCATGGCAATCATATCCTGTCTGTGATATGACAATCCATTTGACAGCCAGGAACAGAATTTGAGAGAGATGAGATCTATAATTACTATTTCTTCTTGTTTTACCTCTTAACTCCATATTAATATATTAGCTGATTGATTTTCACAGTGTGTTCATACATTTTTTGCATTTTCTGCCAACCACTAATACCTGTCCCTTTCCTTGTTTTCTTCTCAGGATTCTTACAGCATTTTGCACACATTCCCTACACTGACTTCTTCCTCCCAAGTAAGTCCAGGTTTTTTCTGTATTAGTCATTTTTCTGAATCCAGGCAAGCTGTGCCTAGTTTTAGCACTGCATGTCAATTTAGAAATCTAATTTGTCCTTCCATCCAGTATATTCTTAACTTGGCTCTAAATTCTGCATTCTTTTCAACTTGAAATGTCAAGCCTGACTCATTCCAAATATTAGAGCTAGAGCAGCTCTGACATTGTTGCTTTTCCAGTAAACTGACTCCATAAACAAACTTCCCCTAGTGTCTCCTATGGTTCACAACAGCCAGCCCTATTAAATAAGTGACCTTAAATCTGCACTTCTTAAAATAGTGATGAGGTTTACTTTATGACCTACATTCTCATATATTTCATGTAACTCCCTATAAAGTCCCAGGACTCAAGTGAGACTTAAATATTTATTTGCATGACAAGATATCTGAGGGTACATGAATATGGTTAAAAAAGATAAATCCTAAAATATAAGGTTGATAATCTCAATTTGAGATTAGAAAATAAATTTCTATGTATACAGTCATAGACCTTTCCAGCTAACATCTACTTTAGTCTACAAAAATGTCAAAGAAATATTTCACACAGGCCAGGGACTGTCATAGAAGACACGATTCCCTCTCTGCCAATTCTCAAGGTTATGCTGTAACTACAGCAACCACTCAGATGAGTAACACTGAAAAGTGGTTACTGCATTAAAAAGACCACTAAATATTCATCCATGTGCTCAACTTGTCAAGTTAAGAACATTTTACAATACTGTGCATTGTAGCTTCCCTTCTGACTTTGTTTCATTCATTGTGTTTCTCCAGTTTAGGCATGACTTGAACAGTAACCAAGGCTTCTATAGGGCCATCTTCAAGAAACAACCTTGGGAGAATGAGCACTCAGGCAGTCCATAGCTCTGCTCTTCTCTAGAATGAATCTTCTCGTTCTTCCTTACCAGGCAAGAAGGGAAGGTAGGAAATGGAGCTAAAAACCTTGGGAATGATTTATATATCTCTAGGAAAATTGTTATCAATTAAATTTCATGGCCTCCCTATTCATTTCACTTGTGAGTTCCCACTTAGTGAGCTTCTATCTGCTTTGTTATTCCTGCCCTTTACCTCATCTTTTTAACTTTTGAGACCATGGGCTATTCCTGGCCTATTTCCTCTTTAAAAATGCCATCCATGTAGCAATGAACATAGTGGCCTCAGTTTGGGAAATGTAGCAGCATAAAGTTTGGCCTTTAGTGATGCCGAAAGTAAAGTTCCACTCTCCACTTGAAGCTAAAATTGTTGAGTGAGGTGACAGCCCTGGCAGGAAAAGCAGCAACAGTATTTCCAGCAGTAGCAATTTCAAGCTCATTATGCAGAGTTTTCCCTTGA